AGTCCTTCTTCATTATTCTTTCCACTTTGTGCAAAATACGAGAATCAATGACCATCACCATGTTTGCCATGGTGGTAAAATATTCATACTGTAGGTTTGAAAGCCTCCCCTTTATTCCTCAAAACAGACCTCTTGTCATTCTGCCCAGACAGTTCAATCTTCGTGTCGTCTGACCATAAATGATTTCTCCATATTGGCAGCTGCATTAAAGGTGTCGATTTTGGAGGTGGGGCTTCTCTCTTGGTTGGCACCCTCTTGACCCAAAGCAATGTAAAACTGGCTTCACTGTGGACAGTGATGCTGGTGCTCCAGCAGTTTCCAGTTCACGAGAGCTTTGAGTCTCCGTGGCTCCTGGCTTGGTCCAGAACATCCTAACTGATTTCCTCCCATCTGAGCATGACAGCTGGGTCTTCTTCCAGGCTTTAGCACAGGGGTAGGCAACTCCCGGCCTCGAGTGCTGGTGTCCTGCAGGTTTTAGATCGCACCCTGGGTTAACACACCTGAATCAAATGATTAGTTCATTACCAGGCCTCAGGAGAACTTCAAAAAATGCTGAGGAGTCATTTAGCCCTTTAAATCAGCTGTGATGGATCATGGACACATCTAAAACCTCCAGGACACCGGCACTCGAGGCCTGGAGTTGCCTACCCCTGCTTTAGCAAATACTTGCAAAAACACATGCAAATACTTAACATTGTTTGAATTAATGAAATTGGAATCTTCAGTTGTTTAAAAAGTCTTCCCAGCTTATGTAAATCTACAATTCTCCTTCAGTTCTTTGGACCCATTGGTCTGAGTATTGGTCCTGAGTATTCTTTTCATGCCAGCAAACTTTTGACCCCCTTGTGAATTAGAGAAAACTCTAAATAAATTTAAACTTGTGCATCCGGTTCTTATTGGGTTTTAAATTAAATATGTCTCCTCTAAAATCATTACCCTCTGACAAAGAACAGTTCAAAGAAATCATTAAAAGCCCCAAATTACCATGACGGTCATGCCCATGATGACTGTTTGTAAACTTCTGACCACAATTGTGTTTTCTCCTCATGCTGACCACAAGTATACAGTAGCTGGCCTGGCTGTGTCTGCAGCTAACAAATCAGTCTACGAGTGCTTCTAAATTTAATCGATTACAGCATGATGTTGTATGGACTGAAAATATACGAACATTTATACTGTACTGCTCTTCTAGTCTTACTTAGCTCAATAAGTCCCTTGGGCTACAAATCACATACATTCATGCAGCACATTATAATATGCAGTTTAAGTGATTTTTTTAACCCTTTATTAATCTAACCAGCAAGTTTGGACTGTGGGGGGATGGAAACCCACATAGACACATCTAAACTTCGCACAGAAGTACCCCAACCTAGCATCACTCAAAACCTTCTTGCCATCAAGGAACAGTGCTAACCACTACACTGCTATTCCACGTACTCCTGGTTTTCACGGATTTTGATATGAAACCAAGAAAATACAAGCCATGCATAAAAAAACACTTTAAATGGGCAAAGGAAAGAGGAAATCATTTCAGGATATTAAAGTAAATGATGTACATGTCATGCAGTCAGTTATGAAACTTAAACTGAAGGATGATTTCAGAGAGTGGATTCATTAGCATAAATCCTTAATGAACTGCTTCAAGTTTATTAAAAACCTGCAAGCTGCAGTGTTTTTGGGGGGGTGGACCTCAAAGTCTACCGATTCAAACGTCACTGGAAATGGAAATGTACAACGAAAACAGCCTAAAAATATCTCCGAGCCTGAAATGATCTGCAATTTATAAACTATTAAGACGCAGCATTCTACCAGACAATAAAAGCATTTCCAAGCAGGCAATAATATATGCCAAACTGGATTATTAAGTCCATACTTTCACCCATCTACAACTGTTGCGTACTTTTTCATGTTTTTAAGGTGATGACAAAAAGTTATTACACTGAAATTAAATGTGGCAATTGTTCATTTTATTTTAATATCTTAATGCTTAAACACTGAAGCTTTATTAGTTTTCCTCCTTGTATTCTTTGAGCTACTCTAAGCTAATCAACAGCTGGCACAGGTTTCATATTTGCAAAACACATTGCTTTTTAGCAAGCAGGTTTGCCAAGATCTCAAGCTCTTCCTTTAACCAATAATATTAACACCATATTTATCAATTCGTGTGAATATAATCAATCTCAGTGTAGCTACAAAGACAGAGTAGACAAATAATGCAATGACATCTGTTTATTTTAATATGGATGTCCATTACACTTGCACATATTTTTGTTTTTATACATTTTCTAGGGTATTTTTCTGTCTTGTATCAACGCTAAGAAATTCACATTTACATAATGCATTTTACATTAGTAGGTTACTGCAGATGACATTCAGCTTTACTGGGACCAGGTCCTGATCTATCTGTATCAAGTAATAATATCACAGAGTATCACAGTGAACCTCCCCATAGACTTCATTTTACTGTAGATTACATATCTTGTTGCCTCTGTGATGGAGGTATGTGATAAAACTTACTGTACATGCAAAAAATCAGTACCGTAGAGCTGATTTCTATTGACAAATAGTATGTGTGAGCATAAGAGTAGAAGTCCTGGGTGGCATGTTTATGCAATGCTACATGACCCTGTTAGTTGCCAGTATTTATAGCATGTTAACATATAGTATGTGTTCACTGGCAACCTATTTGTACTGTAAGTCTCTTTATACTGGTGCCAAGTTTATACAGTTTGCTTGCGTCTCCAAGGTTCATCTATAGTGCTGACTTCGATTTACTAGAAACCTTCATTAGCTCTGAAAATATTTTTAAAAATACACAAAAAACACAAAATAAGTGGAAAACTGCAAAAGAAAACTAGCCATACATCTGAACTCAAAGATACTGGACACTGTACACAGGCACTTGAACTGTGGTACACTCTTTGAGTGCATTCATATTATGTCTAATAAGTGCTACAAAATAACATCAGTTAGAAAAAATACAGATTCCAAAAGTGTAATATTGTTCATTCATACAAACAAACAGGAAAATGTAAAGACAAAAAAGAAAAATCAATTTACAACAAAAACTTAGGGCTACTCAAACCTTATCCTTGAATTGGTCTTGCATATATTTCTGTTTATATTCAGGTTGTAGATTCCTACAGTGTGTCTCACTTTACAAGCTGTTAGAGTAACACAGAATAAGTCAGTTCAGGGTATATGACTTCAATGCTGGAGGGCTGATTGGGCCTCAGGGGGATGCAGTCGTGGAGTAAGGGTTTTTTTTTACTTTCCTGTTAAGTCAACACTCTGGTCGCTCATGCTGTAGCAGAGTCTGCTTTAATGTCACTGCCAGAGCTACGATCGGGATGACTCATACCGGCTCTTACAATAGAGGAGTGAATCATACACTGTCTGTATGTGTGTGTGGTCACATGTCCGCACCGCATCAGCTGAGGAGGTGTGAGCAAAGGACAGCAGAGTTTTATTTGCTTCCATTCATTATGCTGCAGTGATTCATGGATCACAAGTGAAGAGAAAGTTTAATTGTCTTGAGCTGTTGGTGACCAGGTGATTGATGCATGTGGGATATAATGATTCACTTTCTCTGTCTTCTTCTCACTGTGTGACATTTCCTATCTGGTGGTCATTAAATTCGACAAGTTCTGCTAACAAGTAAACACATCCACTTGTCCATAGGTAATGGTATAACAAATAATCCCGATTTAAAAGCCATGTGTCATCTCTTACATGTGAGGTTTCGTATGAAGCTAGGTGAAGTGATGTGTTTATTAGGGAACTTGGTACAGGTAGGTGAATTTTGTTTCCTTTGACCAGAGCCAACCATTTCCCCCGTTTTGTAGTATTAATTCTAAGCTGAGCTAACCGGCCTCAGAGAGCATCATATTGAATGTTCAGATCTGACATTAGCAACAATCTTCTCATGAAAATATTCATGAAAAAAGCAATCAAACTATTCTTTTAAATGATTCTGTTTCTAGATCCTGAATCTATATCAACCCGTGTCTTTCTAGCTACTTTACTTGTCTACTTAGCAGGTCTATTACACAACTTACAGATGATTCACACTAATTTTCTGAAGATCTCTTTATCATTTTATCCACACCACATTAAGAGGGACCCTGAGATGATACGTGCCCCTGAAGGAATGAATGCTAAAGCAATGCAGGTGAGCTCAGCTACAATCTTTTGCAAGGTATCTATGTCAATTGCTTTTACAGCTACGTTAGGCAACAGGAGGGGGGCAGCATAAAAGTGGTCCTCCATGATAAAAGGTGTCACCCAGCTTTAGATGTGAGCCTGGACTAAGTGCTTTTATATCACCAGCCAATGTAGTAAATGTCAGCAGCCTCAGAGTGGGATAAAGGATTTGTAATGTGGCGTTGAGGCTTCAGCGAGGGCGTAGTCACCCCTCTGTTGTCCACAGCATTAATCCCAATGAGAGTGGAGCAGAGGGTAAATGAAGCTGAAACCCTGAGGTAATTACTACCTGCCTGTCAGGATGTCTCTCTAATGGGTCCCGTGTTGATGTGAGTGCCAGCGGCAAAGCATTAGCACCTCCACACTGTTTATCAGACTCAGACAAAGCTGCATGAAAGACTGCAAGAGTGAGAATGTGAAGATGTAGTTGCTTGTGCAGATTATGAAATGAAAGTGTGCCTCTGAGGGTTGTCCCAATTTTCCACTCAGTAAGCGTAAATTGTTATAGATGGGATTCCTTGTTGCTGATTTTGTGTCCCAGATTCATTTAAACATCAGTTTAATGAGCACTGATGACGTAGTTTGTTGCTCATTAGACGGCTTCCCCTTCCCATCAGGCAAGTTAACTCATTGCAATGAGTCAGCAGAGCTCCACAATGCAGAGACGTTCCCTCTCATGTTGCACATCCAGGCTCCACGGAGGAGTGTGGAGGACCACTGCTGAATCAGCCATGTAGCTCAAGCCACAAAATTAAACTACCGCACCATAAACAGAAGATATACATTTGCGTATGTTGAATTAAAAGCGTGAAATTACCGAAACACAATCCTTTTTAGGTGCCGTAACGGAGGTTAGTTTGTGAGAGAAAGTCAGGAAGAAGCATCTCACTGAGGCAAAAAAAAACAAAAAACAGTTAACCTCTTTTTCCAAATATGAGTCACTCGCATCAGTCGGCGTAGCCAATCTCAAACAATGACGCAGACTTTTTATAAGACAACATGACATGAAACGCATCTGTGGTTAAATGATACAAGAGAAAGAAATTTCAGAAGAAGTTGGGAGTGACTCACGGCTCCCCTGTTGCTTTTCGTATCGCTGATGACAGTGGGGGTCTAATAGAGTGAATCTCGTGGAGAGAGGCAGAGGATTATCCAAGAGTGGGACGCCACAGAGCAAGATGTGAGACGGACAAGCTCCCTTTGTCTCTTCGATGCTCATGAAAAAAGAGGGAATATAATGAAGTGTCTTTCTACCTATTTACCTATCAGGCATAGATGTTTCATTGCAAGTGATCATAAAATTTAAAGGTAAATGAAAAGCTTTGAGATGGAAAGGAGGTTCTAAACTGGCAGCTAGTGAGAATTATGTCATGTCCTACTGGAATAGTCAGGTAATACAAGATGCACTGGCAAATATCTACCTATCTGTGTAACACAGGTTCAGATTTTGGTTGATATTGCCAAAGAGATTGTGTCCAGGCACACTGTATGTGCATGGAGGAAGAGTCAGCGTGTGGCCCAAAGGTGCTGGGAGGTCCTTATCAGTCGAAATGTCGCTCTGTGGCAGCTTCAGATATAAATCAGAGTCAGTTTTTACATTCTGTGGCCGCCTGTCTTCCTTTTGGTCCACTGTTTAAGTCCCCACTGTCTTCTCCTTGTCTCGGGCCTCCGTCTCCTCAGACTTCAGGGGGAGGCGAGTCAGGCTGGGGGCCCCCATCCACCCTAACCACTGCAGAAAAAGATAAGATATATGTCAGGCTGTGAAAAGAAGACACTGGTGGGTTTTTTTTAGTTGTAGAGCTCTTCTTTTATTATCTTGAAATTTCACTCCTACCAACACTGTTTCTTGTGTCTCGCACTGGAAAGATCCTTGTTCTATTTTCTTCAAAAAGTTTCTTAATCACGAGGAAATGTTTCTAATCACCTGAATGTTATAACTATCCATTCACCAAAAAATAAACTACTTACTATAAGTCATGTAAAACCTCTAAAACTCTGGATAATCACACATTACCCTGTAGAGGGCCCTATGGTGTCATCCACTCATTCAAGCTTGTTAAACTGGATCATTAGCTCCATGAGGATGGGAAACAAAGCTGATTGAGGGAAACCATGGAAACACCTTGGGAATGAAGACTTGTGAAAGTGAACTACAGTACAACACAGTTTGAAGAAGGGACTACCTATAGTGTCACTCTCCTCCTACAAAATCCTTTTCCAAACATCATACTGCACTAAGAGCACTAAGATCGCTACACCCAGTTTTTCTGCTTCCTTTCTCCATCTACTCTGATTATGTCCAGCGGCAGTCCAAAGCACTCGTCTCTTCCTTCTGCTTAAACAGACACTCTACAGGCATCCTCAGTGACACAGAGCAGAAAGACTCTGACACTGGCCAGTGCCCAGCCATCTGTATCACGCACAAGTTCATGCACACAGACACACAGTGGCTTGCACCTGCACTTCTGCTTCAGTCCAACTGTTTCTGAACTGGCAATGCACCTCATTTCAGAGGCAGCATTGATAATAATAGCCACATGGCTGTTTTATAAAGTCCGACCTCATTCCGAGAATCAATACAAGCTGTCTTTCACTGAACCAGTTCAATCAGGTCTACTCTGAAACGTGAACTCCCCATCAGAGCGAAGCCTTGTTACAGACTCTTTTTTTTTTCCAATCAGAACATTCAGGGAATCCTGATTGGATCCAAAGCCACTGTTAAGCTTTGAAATTTGCCAATTGTGATTGTGATTTGTGGTTTCATGATTGTCACAAGAACTCAAAAGGAAAAGTTTAAGAGTCAGTGTTTTACTATGTTCACATATATATCTGTTTTTCTTTTGATAGTTTACTATCAAATAGCACTACTTATATTCATTTCAGAACTAATTTTATTCCATTTAAATCCATTTTCATTTTTTAGGGCACTTAAAAGGATACTACATATTTTTGTGTTTACTTGATTAACTAAACCCTGCATGAACACAGTCTTTTCTTCCTAAATTATAAACCTATTTGCTAAATTTGCCTGATCCCTCTTTTTTGTATTTTTATTTGTCATCAGGCATTTGTGATAGCATGTACCAAGCTGATGAATTTCCATAGTCTTTTTTTATATCAAATATCTGCTTATGCACTTGTGTCATGGGGCAAGATATTTGTACCCAATTGTGCATTTGCACAATGCCAACAACAGCGCATGGTGGGAGCAATAGAGTGAACTCGTTTGCCAAAATACAACCTTGAACCTTAAGCTAGGCTCTGATCATAATTTAGATTTTTATAGTTTTGTTTTTTTTATGTATCTGACTTTGTAAAGAATCACTGGTTTACAGAGCAGCAAGTCTTGCACCAGATGCCTGTTCTCTACACTGGAAGCCCCAGCTGGTGGTTGTCCCCAGAGGCTAATTCAAAAAACTAGTCACCAGGTTCCCAGCACTTCAGAAATTTGCTTCTACATCCTGGGATAAAAAGGGAAGCTGAATATTAGTCAGGACATTAGAGGGTGAATATTTAGTTTAGTTGTGAACTTATTTCCGAGACCTAATTGCTCCTTGATTGTGGATTTGACAAAAACAGATGAAATAATAAGACTCTGGCTTTGGGGGAAAAAACAGCCTAAATCCTTGTTGATACCATCAAGTGTGTTGATTTGTTAAACCAACATCTTCAGGGTAATCAAACCACTTAACCAATTATTAAAGTAGTTTAGAATAATTTAATCAGTTAGTCGACTCATTGCAGCTCTACTGTGCACCAAATACATACTTATTTCACGCGGGGTGTCTGCTGCCTACTTCTATGCTCATTATTCAGATAACAACAGCAGTGAGAATACTTCCACCCAGAGAAGTTTTTGCAAACTTGCTAATGTGGGAGGATGACAACCAGTTATGAGTCATCCCTCTTGTACTGCAGAAATTGCATTAGTGATTTGTAACATGACTCAGCTGCATTATTACTGTAACTTTCAGCTGTATAATGTTACAGAGTAAAGAATGTACTGCTGAGATTCTGCAGGTACCGTGGGCTCTCAAACGCAATCCCACATGTAAACCCCATGATGGAGGTGGACTGTAGTGATGCAATAAAGACTGTCGTCCCTCTGCGTTTTCAGCAAACCTTCTGTCAGTGGCTTTCATAGGAAGATTAAGCAGCATAAATCTGGGACTGTACATTTGCTACAGTGTTATTTTAGGTCAGTTTTGACATTAAAATTTCTACCCTTTCATCATCAGGTCTTTTGTTTTTTCCAATGACTCTGACAATCCTTTAAATATTTTTTGACTGACACCTGCTTTGACTCAGTTTGTTGGGCAATGAGGTCTCGTTTAAATTTTAAACACATATAATCTGCACAATTCATAGGGGGAAGCAGGCAGTAAGCGAGGGAGAGTTCAGGGAGGGGTGCTGCACAGATGAGATGGTTCTTTTCAATTCAGATGAGCAGACAGAAATGAGGCTGAGGACCCTTCATCTTGGAGGTCTCACCCCTCACCAGTGAATCATGCAGGGAATACCCTCATTGAGTGTGTCAGTCAAAGCGAGGGGACATTTTCAGTGCTCGGTTTCTGGTTTTAAAAGCCTCTTTGACTTGTTTTGACTGAAGCTGTTCCCATTACTTTAGCTACCAGTTAACTATGGTTCAGTGGAAACAGGAAACCCCCTGCGATTATCATGGATTTATGGCGCATATTCTCACTCCTTTGCTTTTTTTACAGTCCCAGTTGGTTGTGTAAGAGCACACAACCCCCTGCACAAGCACATTTGCTGCCTTTTTAATGGCTTCCGCACCGACAGACGGTGGTAATGCCAATTAGCACGTGCTAAACACTGATACTACATCAGATTTGGAGCCCAGGCCTGGATCCCATCTCGTAACACCTGCTAATGAGCCAGTCCGTTAAAGAGGTGACAGTGTTAAGCAGGCAGTCATCCTCTCAATGAACCAATGCCAAACTTTGCCTCCAAAAGAAATTCCTTTCTTTTCTTCGACATACAGCGGGCTTCACATTTGTTGAGTGGAAGAATGAAAAGAGGTACTCAAACAAAACACAAGAACAAAATGAGCTTTTTCCAGGCCTCATTAGAATGTAATGGGTATCCTAGACCAGACACAGTGGTTCGGATTGTAGAAGCAAGGATTTGTCAGTTGTTTGTCTTCGCATACTATTATCCTTATTATAACAATTTCTTAATCTTTACACAATATGCTTTGGAAGGGAAAAATAAAACCCTGAGAAAGAACAGGACAAGCGAGAACAACTGAAAACAAGATCACGAGTGAACTTAAGACCTCTTCAGTAGAGGAAAAAACTCAGTCTTATATGTATAAATCAAATAAAAAAGCTGGTTTCATTTTGTAAGTGCTATTTGAGAATTGAAGGACGATGGATGGCTCAGTGTTGTGCAGAGGCCACCTCACATTCCTGGAGCACTTACTTTTATCCTCCAAGGCTCTTTTTTTCCAGACATTCAGTGACAATTCTCACCGAGCCTCATTCTTCGCGTTTATATATTCAGTGCTATGCAGCGAATGAAATCACCTGATCTTATATTGATTTAAAAGGAGAATTAGATGGTCATAAAAGACTGGTATAATTTGAGATAACTGGGCTCAAATATAGTAATAATTCAATGTTTGCATTTATATTTCTTGTACTGGTTAAGGGATGATACCGGCATTTTGGGGGGGGGGGGTAGCTATTGTGATCAAATCCCTCTAACATATTGATCCTTTACATCCAAAGCTTGATAATGAATTTGCTAAAAAGTACTGCTGTTCCCAACAATCCAAAACACATTTCAACATACACATTCATGCTGCTTTAACATATATAAATCTGCAAGTTAGTCCCCAAAATGCACAGATTTCTCCTGATCCAGTAACATTCCCTACAATCTAAAGTTCCCAGCTAATTTTGAAAATGCCACAGCTCTTTATTTAAAACAAACAAAAGTTTTTAACAATATTTATGCCTTTAGTAGGAAGCACAGAAATTCTGGCCTGCAGACAAAAATGGCAAAGCACTAGAAAAAAAAATGTATACTCGGAGTTATCTTAATATATCTATATTAACAGTAATGGCAGATATCTCAGACAAACAAAAACACACACACAAAAAAGTTCATCTCTGCGTTTCTCCATCTTAATGCACTGCATTACAAGAAGTAAATTAAGGACATGGTAAATTGCTTTATAATAGATTAGTAAAGTGCATAATGTTGGTTCTAAGCCAGACATCATTTATTGAGTTCATCTTCCAAACAAACCTTTTAGATGTTGTCTGGCTTTCATGTCTGCATTGCACAATCTGTCCTAAAGACCTACACCAGAAACACTTCCCAAGTCCCCAGAGACAAATATATGGAGGAGTAGTGGTAAAGTCAAATACAGATCATACATATACAGTTACATACCCAGTCTATACATTCCTCCAATGTACTGACTGAGATGGAATCTGTGTCAAAATTCTGTCAACACTGAAATTTTTCACCTTGTTTTGACGGCAGGTTTCCTACAGAGCCGTAGTCTGTGCATTCCTTGAGTCTAATGCATCGTGAATACCTGTAAGACTTGGCCTCACCTACCTGCCTTTGGCAGCTAAATGTAGATTTTAGTCCTGCTGTTAGGTGATATACTGCTTTTGATCTCAATCCCGCAGAAATGTGTCTTCCCTCTGAGAGAAAAGCTTGCACAATGCTCAAAAAACACCACTACACACATTGATAAAATCTCAGTAGAATATCTTGATTTAATCGAGGTAGACTTTCCTTGGCACCGAAAGTAATACCACGTGAAGGAAAAATGTATTTAGTCTGGGATGAGTCTAAGTTTCTGTGATGAGAGGCCAGGTTTTCATGGAGCGAAGCACCTTAGCTCCCATCAGGCTTATCATTTTATTAGAACACGGTCACGCAATTTCCACTTTATGCTTTCATGGAACTGGGAAATTGATTTGCAATAAGCAAGAGAGGACAGAAAGATGAAAGATAAAGCATTTTGGATATTTAAATACCCATTTATCAAACGGAAAGACTGAAAAGCTGGGATTAGGGTTTGAGCCTACCTATCTGTTCCTGTGTATGAGAGTGCGAAGGCTGAGGCTGGACTTCAGCCTGGGCCTGCTGCTGTTGCTGCTGCTGCTGCTGCTGCTCCTGCAGACTCTGACTGTCCACTGAGATCCCGCTGTCACTGTGCAACTTCTCTCCTTCCGGCGTCACCATCTGGTTATTTGTAGCTCCACGGTTATTAGCTGCCTGTTTGTTCTGTTTGCAGCTATTCCACCTGTGGAAAAGTAGCACATCAGATAAGATCCAGTGCGATAAAGATACAGTCATGGTTTTAAACTAAAACAAATCTTCTTTCATTAAAGTATTACTTTTCTTTGGCTTTTTTTAAGCATTTCTAAAACCAGAAACACAAAAACAAAACTATTGAATGTACAAAATTATGTTCTTATCTTCTGCAATAGACAAACAGAAGTCAATAAGAGGTTAAGAGGGTGGCTTATCACCACATTATCAGCTACCTACATTGTGTTACATTGCAAATGGCCCTTTCAAGTCTCTATCTACAGTACAGTGTGGGAGCTGATGTCCTAACGTTGGTGTTGTTCCTAAAACATCATATTTAACAATCTTCAGTGCAAATGATGAAACACGTTTTACCCACCGGATCCATTACAACCTGCTCCACTCTTTGTATTACCTCACCTGGCCTTTGAAAGCCTTCCTGCCTTAAAGTGTTTCTGTCTGGAAGCCTTTTCTCCCAGAAAGCACTGCATTCAAACTTCTCCCACTACCATCACATTAGCAGGATTAGTCAGTTGCAATGATGAAAGTTGCAACAACATTACTTATTATGCTGAAAGAACTACGACAATGCTAGAACCCTAAAAATATCACCCGAAGATCCCAGCTGCTCTGCCCACTTTACTGGATATATTAGCTAAACACATTTAGTATTTAAGATCATTCTAAATCAAAAGCCTTAAAATGACAAATTAGTAAACTATATTTCATATTTTACATCATCCTCAGAATTAATGGACTAACTAGCTCCACAGTCCTATGCAAAAAGAATATTTCCATTTCCATCTATTTCTGTTTCTTATTTGTGAATTACACAAAGATTTTGCCACAAACATTTAGTGTGATCGACATTATAAAGTCCAGATGGAGACAGCATTTTAAATCAGTTCATTGCAATGCATTAGTTAGCTAACTAGCTACAGCTTCTAACACCTTATAGATATCCATTCACAGCTGTCGCTTCCACTTTCAAATTCAACAGCCAGCTGCTAGAATGGAGTAACTTTCACTTGTATTTCTTCAGAAAATGCTATGGGTCATCATTATCACTGTAAACTGCATAGTTATATTTTGTACTAGAATCTTAGAAAGCAGAATTATAATTAGTGTTATGAATACAACTACAAGAAAAAGAAACACTAAATAAAAATAAATATACAAAATACTATAAAAAAGAAATACAACAAAGTGTTCTTCTTGTAGAAGATAAAGTAATGTGAATCAGTAATTTAAATATTCATGAGGTATTTAGTGGTACAGTACAGTAAACACCTCTTCTTATAAAATACTGGGTGTTAAAGAAATTCATGTAATTTACAGTCTGTCTATGCATGTCAACAAGTACATGAGGTTATTAACCAGATGTGTGCGTGACTGTGCTGATAAATCTGGCACTCAAATTTCCTCTGGTCGGCACTTTTCAAACAATCAATGCTCTTAATGAGCTTGTTTACTTGCTTCAAATGTGTTATAGCCTGGGTTTGTATCTGTCTGTCTGAGTGCTTGCATGTGTGGTTGCACGTCCTCACTAACGTGTGTGTGTGTGCGCGCGTGTGTGTGTGAGAGAGAGAGAGAGAGAGAGAGAGAGAGCAAAAGAGAGACAGTAAGGGAGAGAGACAGCTCTCTGAAGTATTAAGAGCTGAGTTTGGGGTTTTTTTGTTATGGTGTGTTTTAGCACAAATGGCTTAAAGCCTCTTCAACCGCAACTGGAATTAATATTCGACCAGCCACCTTACTACTACTTTTCAACCAGATGTTGCCTGGGGCAGATGTCGCTCCAAGCAACATTCAGACCACCATCATTGTTCACTCATTCTACACCAGGCAATATTTTTGAATAAGTTGTAAAACCCAAATGAGCCAATATCCTTGACCATAGAGTTGCTTTTAATTATTTCTCTTCACAAACTGACCTCCTAAAGATGAGATAAGCGGCAAGACCCACCACCATGGCAGCCAGGATAGAGCAGTAGATGGGTATGAGGTTTTCATTGAGGCCGTGACCGAGGAAGCGAGGAGAACCAGCGCTGGACGTAGTCGTTTCTCCTCCTGGCAGTGGGCTGTAGGAGGCATCAGGAAGGAAGGGATCAGGGAGGGAGGATGAAGATATATCCAAATCGGAGGTAGGAATGACATCGGTAGGTAAACTAGGATCTATAAGGAAGAAAACAGAGAGACAGGAGCATTTATGAGACAGGAAACATGTTATTTAAACTGCTTATATACAGCTATAGAAATAGAGCACAATTAGATTCTGTCCACATTGCAGGCTCAAAAAATATTTATTTCTGTCTCTGACTGTGTACTGCATGGAAGCTCCAAATTACCATGGCATTTATGTCCGTGATGAATGTAGGTAAACTTTTCACTAGAACTGCCCTTTTGTTTTAAGTTGGTTCCACTGCGTCATTGCTGACAGGATTTTCAGAAGTTAACATGATGCACTCTGAGCTCAATATTTTGAGGAGGCTGTGCCAGTGGCAGCATGGAGACTTTTACCAGCTTTCTGTACAGCGTTCACCATTTTAGTTTCACAGCAACACCACTTGTTGTTGCTATATATAGTTTATCATAAACCAAAGCACTGGAAAATTTTGCCCTGCTTGTAATGTTAAGGGGAGTACTGTATGACAACTTCTGGGAAAATCTTTTTATTCATCCATTACTGTCTAAAAAAAAGGAAAAATCCAAACATTACAAAAATAGAGATAGTTCTCTGAGAACCAAGAAGTCATAGAAGTATATAGTATAATATACATATAAACTTTATTCACTTCCTGTGTATAAATCAACACCTTAATGTATTAATTTCATTGTATATTCCCGTGCATATACCATAATCAAACAAGTCACCAAGTCCCCAAGCAGATGTCTGGCGTGCTGCACTCATGTAGCAGCTGTTTCTGATAGACAGATGGGTTCTTCCTGAGTTGCTCTGTGCAGAAAGAAGGAATGCTCTTTAACTAAGGGGGTAAATATCCACCACCCACTACACACTCAGCTTTCCCCACACCAAGTTTGGGCCTTGCATGCCAGGTCTCCTCTCGCCACATCTCCATCTGTGTGATCTTTGCGCACTGCACAACATTGAGGCCATATGGTTTCTAGCTGAACAAAGTCTGGGGTTTTAGCGAGGTCATCATATTGAGTTTAGCCTTTGCTGAGGCCAGAGAAGCGAGAAGAGCACTGTGCTACTGGACGGGTCTGGTTTCTATCATAGTTATGTCTGTAAAGAAGTAATTTTCATAAATTGTCCTATTTCCTCTTTTGTTGTGAGCTCCATTAATTATTTCAATGTAATTTTCCATTTTGCAGCAGCTCCATGGCATTGCTTCTTCTGAAAAAACAATGCATCCATCATATCTCTCCAACACTCCTGTCATATTATGCATTTGTTTTGAAAAGTTCTGCAAGTTACAAAGCAGCGATTCTGTTAGATGACAGAAAAGGTCTGCAGAGAAGGTTACAGATTATGCCTTCTGTCAAAGTGTGGTCGAAAAGGCCAAGTAAGAGGTCTGTCCAGGCAAATCTAAGACCCCTCTGAGCACAACAGCAGAGTGGGGACGGAGTTGTGCAGCCTGGTTCAGATCTGAGCCAGTAATTCCCACCAGAACCTCAGGCTGCGCCTCATTAGCTTTGTCTTGCACTTGCAGGATTAACCCTGTGGAGACTCCTGGGGTTTCCTTCATGGCCAAACACCGGGACACTCAATCCGAAATACTTTCGGTGTCCCCTCTTTACAGATGTTATGATTTTTTTTAGGGCTGCTATCTGGTTTCCACATATTATATTTCTGTGTTCTAAGCTTTTATCAATAAGTACAATATAACCTTTAAACATGGTGTATTTAAAATCAGATATAACATCATTTTTAAATAATAATTATATATAAAGAATTCAATTAAAATTTAAATAGAATTTATTCTGAAACTCGGTTAGCGGGAGCCTTCAGAAACTCCTACTCCATTGCTGGCTCGCTAGCGCCCCCTAAATAGAATTTATTCTAATGGCATAGTTATATTTAACCTAAAAAGAAAAAAAAAACTCCAACAGGTGACCATCAGTGAGCTGGTACTCTGTTTCACACGTCTTTGGCAAATCACTCATTTGAAGGCTCCACCAAAAAACTAGGGTCAACTTTCCTGCTAACACATCTACAAGCTACTTTGTAACCCACCTCCCCTCTAGCTCGTACTTTAAATGCATGGTTCGAATGTATCAGTGTTATGTCATTTATATTCTGTATTATATGAATGTTGGATATTGAGTAAGGGAACAATCTTCCAGACAAGACTAGTAATGGAAGGAAAACCACACCACATGATTGCTGTGACCGCTGATGTTAACAACACGAAAAAGATATTCAGTGGACCATGACAGCCAATAGCTGTCCTATTTCTTCTGATATAGCAAATACTCAGGTTTCTTCATGATGATTTGTTGCATATATTACATACGGATGATTCTTTTAATAGTTCATTTGCATCTTGATGGGCAATTTGTCTGGACTTTTTTTCTGTTTGTCATTAAGAGTCCACGTTGGTCTGTCTTTCTGCATGACTGTGGCGGGGCAGTTCTGTCGTAAGGGTATTGGGTTGCTGAAAAAGCAGAAAAAATATTTCGTGGGACAGAAAAACAGAGCACAACAGAGCCATACTTAGAAACAGAAATAATGCGGAGACCTATTTAAAGCGGCACTATTGATTGGGATCTGTCTAAAAGGAGGGAGTGGAACATGGGTGTTTGTATTACATGCATTTCTTGACCTTTCCTGGGATGTAGTCAGGTTTCCTAAGCTCTGCCATACATCATCCGGCTAATGCAGGGATGGCTAATGGTATTAGCAATGCAACCTGAGCTCACAAATAGAGCACATTTTGAATGGAAGGTGTGAAAGTGTGCAGATGGTCTAGGCTTATATACAGTTTGTCAAATAAGTTGCAATCCCTACACTTTTGTCTTCACACTGGCTTTTAAATCATGTCACTCTTCTGTAAGTACGCTTTGGTGCAATCAGTGCTCCCTACATGCAGATGTATGCTTACAGTACGAGTCTCACCTAGGATTTGCTGTAAATCGTTTATCTCTTTCCGAGCCAAGACGACAGCTCTCCTGGGAGCATCCTTTGCATAACTCTGACTCAACACATAAAGTACAGTGTGCTACGTCTTTATTGTGACTCCTTCATGCTCTCATTTCTATAGGTTGAAGAAAAAAAACTCTGGCTGTAGACCAAAGGACAAATATAAGCCTGCAGAGGCTGCATACACTAACTGGAACAGAGCAGGAGCTTAAAGGCAGCAGTGGAACTTTAACAATTTAATTTTCGGAGCAGAGGGTTTAAAACAATCGTGACGCTAAATAAAACTAACCCTGGATTTTATGAGCGTGGGCCTGTGTGTTCAGGGAGATGTGTTTATTAGTGGGGTGTGGACCAAAAGGGGAGAAAAAAAAAGATTGAATTTTTATGAGCCATTGAGGTCTTTATGGTGAAGTTAACCCCAGGGTCTTGAGCAGTGGTTGATGTCTTGACTGCTGCCAGTTCAGGGTGGAGATGAGCAACTATCAGGCGCAGAACACGCACAATGACCTCTTTATCAGCCACCAAACACTCTCCCTCTGTCTCAGCTCAGCTTCTATCTCAATTGCCTGCCGTGCACACATCTATCATACGCACACGTACTACGAACTATTCAAGTGAGCGCTCTGTCTTCTGTGAGGGGGGTTAATAGGAAGAGTAGAGGGGAGGATAGACAGAGAGGCAGAGTGTTAGGAGAGAGGGAGGAGGGGGTACAGATGAACAGAGGAGCTGCTGTAAAGTGCTCTGATTAGCAGGAGTAATTATACTGCAGCAGTGGAGGCACTGAATGCACACTGGCCAACTTCCACCACTCCGCTTACCGAGCCACTTGAGGGCCACTGTGGGAAGAGATAGAAAGAGGGGGAGGAGAGAAGGTGATGAGCGTGGGGTAAAAAAGAGCAAAGAAGTCTGCTTTATCTGTGTTTTTAATCTTTCACTCCCCTTCTCTTGGAAAAGCTGTCAAACAGATGCTCAGCATTTCACATTTAATGCAAACCTGCTCAACTGGAGGCCGGACAACACCTTTTGGAAAAGCTATCTCAAGGCCAACCGGATCAAAGGTCTTCGATAAAATGTGGCGGAGGTGTTTACAGCTTCAGATCAAAAAGGTTCACGCATGTGCAGCGTCTTTAATGAAAAACGTAGGAATAAAATCACACTTGGCAGGGGAAGAGTGTGCGCGCGTCATGTTAGCCTGCTATCAGTTGTATTGATTCGGGATGCTCATATAAAACATTTGTGTGTCTGAAGTTGGAGACGACTAAGCTTGCATGCGTGTGTGTGTGTGTGTGTGTGTGTGTGTGTGTGTGTGCATACTGTAGTCAAGTGTGGGTGCTCATAGAGGTCACTCAGCGAAACCTGAGCACAAGTAGAAGAAATCCCTGGACTGATATCGACCCCTCTGCATAGAATACCAGCACAGCACATATGCGGCAGCCCTCTCTTTCTCTTTCTGACTCTGTCATTGTATCATGTAATTGACACTTGGTGACAGCTGGATATGGAGATCTGGGAACTTTAAAATGCTTTAATCACACCTTATTTACTGTATAGAAATAAGGCAGCGGGATAAGAATAAAATATAAAAATTCCTCCTGTAAAAATTACCAGTAAGGCACTTTCTCCTTTGTCATACCAAGCTTACTGTATGCACAGTATCAAAGACCACCATGTAAGGTCAGCAAGCATCATCATGACCGCATGTGACTGCAGCCATTACCCGCAGGCCCACTGGTGCTATTATTTTTCAAACAGTCACATATCATGCCATCTCCAGTCCCCACCGTTACTGCTGCTGCAGTACCATCACTCAGGACAAGGCGGGTCACAGTTGATCTGCTTGGGTGGGCGCTAAATGGGCAGCAAAAGGCTGCATTGTGGCCTACGGGACAGCAGATATTTTTGGACAGGCCAGGCTAATGGTAGGCATTACTTTGAAATTCCAAGTGGAAGTAGATTATATGCCTGGACCATATATATTTTTGAGATGAGCCAATGCATTATTCAGGCAACTAAAACTAAAGTCTAAATTTTAATTTTTTAAAAAATTTAGTTTTTCACACTCTAATTAATTAGTTTTGAAAATAGCAATTAATCTGTCTGATTTCTTTATCATTTTATCATGGTGGCAAACAATATAAAAAATAGACCATAATTTGAATGGTGTAAAAGATTATCTTACTGATCAATTAATAATAAAATGCTAAATGTGGCGCTCATGTAAAAGTTGTTATGTATGTTTAGAGTCATTTTTCCTGCTTTTTTCCCCTCCAGTTCATTTCTCCATTGTCTTTTTTGCCATTAGAATCTATTATAAGAAGCTTCAAGTCATCCTCTCTACTACAACATGGGCTTGACAAATTTCTGAGGCTCATTAACTTGGTATATCCACCTGCCACCACCAGTGTTTGAGGCCATGAAATCTCAACCCTCTCAACGTTTAAAAGGGGATTATTACAGCTCCTTGCTGAATACCAAAATTTATACATAAACATTTTTCAATAAATTGATAATGTGCACAAGAGATTAGTAGGCCTTTAGCCAGTTTTCCATCTATTACGATCATTCTTTGAAGCATTTATCCAAAATTGCCTCACTGGTTCAAGCATGCTTTCCCATAAGATAATGCAGAAGAACATTTTTTCATACAGGAAATCGAGAGCAATACCAGCGAAGACATTTTACCCCATAGATTTGAACTTTGCGGCCCCCTGATGAGGTCAATTTCACGCCTTGTCTAACCCAAGCGAATTTATAGCTTCCTTTGGTACAAGGAGCTTGACTTTGCTCTGACATTCTGAGCTTCTGTTTTGTGGTCGAGACGATTATTCATTGTCCCTTTGTTGACACTGCAGCAAACTTTGACCTTTTAATGCTAAAACTTTGAACATCCTGCTGTTTAAAAATCAGACCAGGGATGACCTCTGACCACGTTTGTTCCCACACATGTGGAAGTTACCCCTGCTGATTTGTGCAAAATGTGACTGAGACATATATGATGCTGTTTTAAAATTACTTTTTAAAACTTTTTAAACGGACTTTTACCCCTGATATGTTTGACATAGAAACCATCTTGGTTCGTTTTTACCTTGGTTTCGTTCAAAGGTGAAAAAATATCCTTTAAAAAAAATTCAACTATATGAAACCAACGTGAGTGTGCAGAGCGTGCAGTGCAGACTTACTGTAGCAGACAGTGTCACTGGTTGGCGTGCAATTAGCTTGTTGTGTTTCGTTTTCATCACAGATGGTGCAGGGCAGGCAGGGTTCGAGGGAGTTTTCCTCGTCAGAGAAGGTTTCGTCGACACATTCCTCACACACCGTGTCGTGATCGTGATCACAGTGGGAGTACACGCCCTGTCCCAAAGGGCATACCGTACACTGCTCACAACGGCCAGTTACAGTGTTGAAGAAATAGTTATAGTTACAAATGCATTTGGCATCGTTGGAGTCGGTGCATGGCGTCTCCATCCGCATCAACCCGGTGCACTGAGTGCATGTCTTGCACTCCTCTGTATGACTGTAGTTCTCAGAGAAGGTCTCGCCTACACATTAGAGGAAAGGTTTGAAAGGAATGGAGATGAGTAAAAAAATAAAAGAGATTAGAAGATGAAGAGAGAAGGAAATGTGAGGAGATAAACAGGGAGAAAAACAGTGAGTATAATGACATTAATCATGTTTACTGCACATTCATTAAAAGGAAGGACACATTGATCCACTGGGCTCTTTAGTGATTTGTGCTTCGGGACAAGAAAGGTGCTCTTGTTGGGGAGCGAGTCAAAAGCCTGCTGTGCTCATTATGATATCGATCCCAGAGTGTTTGTGCTGCGCTGAGTAAACTGCTTTAATCTCAGTCATACGCGGGGAGTGAAATGCAGGTGCATCCACATCCTTCCACTGAAAGCCTGTCTTTAAAAGTCATCATCACTGACTTAAGTAAATTAAGATACTTTTGTTACCTGGTCATGATATAAACTGATCTAAAAGCACAAATAGAATTTTTAATTGCCATATCATAATTGAATATATCATAACATAATGTAAGGCTGCAGTCGTATGTTTAAAACTTGACCTCCTGTTTCTTTTCCTTGCTGATCTTCCTTGATTTCAAGGATAACACCATGAGGTGAGGGAGAAATACAGATATGGAATTTGAATTGCGCTACAGTCAAAGACTGTTCTATTTGAACTACCCAGTAATGTATCGCAAAAGGCGCATTGAGTTCTTACCAAGTTGCTTCAGACAGATAAAGACAACCCAGAGAAAATAACACTTTATTACCAAGGTTGGATTTTTTTAATGGAAATTGGCAAACACTTCCAGGAGTTACACTAATGATCCAATGCAACTCCCGCCTTTATTTAAGCTTTTTGTAACTGAAGTAAGACTAAATAATAACCATCATCACAAATGCTGATAATAGGCATAAACGTCTAACTGCAAGGTACCAAACAACATAAAAAGCAGATACTGTTCAGTAGGATAGCTTCAGATATTTTAGCTTTAGGTTTAACACAGGCTAATATTAGCTAAGCTTCACTCTTTGATCTGCCTGAAGTAAGAGTGTGTAAACTGGCGGACTGAGTAGTAGCATCATCTATATAAAACACATGTTATTTCTGGTTTGTGTCATATGTTTGCTAAACCTTCACAGGGTATGTGTGTGTGTGTGCAAAAAACCTTGAGTTTAAGGCACATTTCACTGTATAAGTTTTTCTTGTGAGTTGTGTGCAAAGGGAGAAAAAAACATATCAGACCACAGTAGTGTTATCAGAGAAATGAGATAAAAGCTGTGGTGACTTATTACTGGCTGCCTTTGAATTACTCCAAGCTCTTCAGATTTGTTCTTCTGTGCTATTTGGAGTCGGGAGGATTTGGGAGAGTTCATGACTGAGGAAATGATGACCTCAAATTAGCTTATTCTTACACTGAGAGTTCCTCGGGGCACAAAGTAATCTATTAATATTGCATTTTCATATAGACTTATTTTCAGATATAATTGGATGCCTGCTGAATTATGCATACAATGTGAAAGCGAGAGTGTTTGTGTGCCCTATGAGTGTGCTTTAGCAGTTGAATGAGTTGAGAGTATAGTAGAAAGGCCGACAGGGGTGGGGGGCGACACTAAAGCTCACATTCATTACAGAGGCAGTGTCACTGTTTTTCAAATACCTTTTTGTGTGTGTGTGTGTGTGTGTGTGTGTGTGTGTGTGTGTGTGTGTGTGTATAAAGAGCGGTCACCTTGAGAGAGCTGCAAAAACACCACGAAGACTGTTGTGTTGTACACAACATTCAATGGGTACAACACAACAGTTTGGAATAAAGGTTTCACAACATGAGATTTTGCGACAAGAATGCAGCTTTATAAACTGCTTAATTAACACCAGACATTGCTCGTTTTACTATGAATTTCACAAAAATGGAGCACGTAGCAAGTTTACACTCTTCAAAATCTCCTCGGCGTCTCCGTGCTGTTTGTCTTGAAGGGAAATAAATCATTGGGAATGGCAGAACTATAAATAAAGCCACATGCCTGTGTGGATGTCTGGGACTTGCAGAGCTCTTATCTGCATATCCATATGCTTCGGAATATGTGTTTTTCACAGGAATTGCTTAGCGGGTGTCGTGTTGAGAAACAACATATTGTCAGTGTGAAAAACCCTGCAGCAATGTCCCAGCGCTTGCTTTTACGTTGTAAGCGGCTCCGGCAAGTAAACACTGGCACCAATTGAAGCTCTAAACACCTTGTAAACAGCAGCGCTGCTAAGAGGCCGACTATGAGACCTGTCACATTATACAAGCAGACTGAGCGGAGCAGATGGAAGTAATGATATAGACACAGGTAGAATGATCAACAAGCTCTGCGCGAGCAGTCGCTTGATTCGCTCGAATGATTCTCTAGATTGTTTGACGCAGCACAACTATAAGCAGTCTGTGAGGGTGGTCCCAAACCCCCCCAAAAAGAACATATTCTAGTGTTGAGGAAGGGCTGGTGTACAAGTAGGAGGAGAAAGGGTCACGGGAAATGAGGCAAGCAGGGATGTAAGTGCGTTCAGTTTCCTTTTAGACAGCATCAAATCCTGTGCTTTTTCTTTAAGGGTGAGTCTGTCATCACCCTTTGCTCTTATTACTGTTTGCAGGCAGAAGTGATAGAGGAGGGTGACACTAACTGAATGATCCAGACACAGACAAACACCAGACCTCCAAAGTAAATAATCATTTGAATTTGTGAGGTTGAAACCTTTGTTTTGATTTCAGTCAGGCTCAACCAGTAAACCTCCCCTCCTCATTCATTTCAATTATCCCGCTGCGAACAGGCTTCCTCGCTAATTTTAACTCGCATGCATGAGTCCCTTTGCAGTTCTTGTGCGTAAACATGCCTAAATGTGACCATATGCAGCGAGTGTTCAGCAGGAACTGTCAGAAGAGATGTGTGTGGGCGTGTGTCTGCGGTGCATGCGTCAGCGCTTTCATGTGGAAAGAAGAAAGGAAGAAAGTTAAAGGCCATCAGGTGAGAGTGCATTCTTTAATCAAATATGGCCTTCTTTCTAATTGTCCCCAGCTGAGATCTGATGAGCACACATCAGCGTTTAGTGTCATCGTGTTTGGCTATAAAGGTGGTTGCGGGTAAAGGGAAATGTGGTCGTGAATGGGGGCGCGATGCACTTAAATTGTGCCACTTCAGCCCAGGAGGACCACCCCCCTCATCTAACGCTGATGTGTTTCAGCCCCATTAGTGTCATCAATAATGTAGTTCTCGATGGCCTTGAGGCTATTTGATGATGTTCACAATCAGCACTTTAGGTGTGAGCATGAGCAATGCTGGACATTTCCTACCCTTCACAGAAAGTACCGTGTTTCTGCTTAGACGCTACCCAAAACGCTGACCCTCTGCTGACTGAGGATAAATTATCAACATTTGGAAAGTTGCGTGACGGCTTTATTTGGCTTTTTGAACACAAATCATTTCTGTCTGTAATTATCACCCTGCTTCTTTGGACCACTTTGCTTCCCTCAGATTTGAAACAGGTGTTTCAAACATAGAGGGAATATTATTAACCGTAGCTATTCCAAGGAAGACCAAATTAGGCAAAATATAATTTAACAATCAATGTCCGCTCTTGCATCCCGTACTAATATCACTTTTTTTTAGGGTGTTATGTAGGGAACTAGCTTCATCTGATACATCTGCTACAGCCAGAGAAGGCCTGCCAGGAGAAAATCTCCATTTTCCCTTTCTTTATCCAAAGTTAAAAGAAACTTGATGCTCTGCTTCAGCCGTCCCCAGACATTCCATGATTTGAATTTTCCTTTAATTTCCAGTGAGTCCCAGTCCAGTTGGCCAGCAGGGCTCTTCCACATTGACTCCTGGGGTTTTCCCCCACATATTGCATTCAAGCACCTTTGAATGGCTTACTAAGTGAGGCAAGTCTGGTTGTCTTATCTCCCATGACAGCAGTGAAAGTGAAGGAGACTGATAAATATTTTATTGCTGCTGATGCTGGCACTCGTCCCGAGCTGAGACCGTGGAGACCATTGGTAGGTGGAGGAGTAGAAGTGGGATTCAGGAAGTGGGATATTAAAGGGGGTCGAGGTGAATACAGATTTGCCCTTATTTACCGTGAAACAGGAAATGGATGTGTTGGATTTTACTTCTCAATTATTCATATCTGCACTTTAGAAAATGTATTTATAGCATTCATTTTTCGAGTAAGGTCGCTGTTTTAGCCTCTAACCTTTGCTTGTATATAAACGCCACTCAGCCTTATTTTAGCGACTGTGCTCCTGGGGGGGGTTCAGGTACATTAATATTTAAATTGCTGAAACAAAAACAATGCAGAAAAGTATAAAAATGCATTTGCACCGGAAATTGAATTGAACCTCCTGGGTATTTGAGGTTAATTGTTGAGTGTTTATCAGTGGTGAATACTGTTCCTGTATTGCAAAGCAAGATAATTGTTCGCTGTTAGAGGCACAATAGGCTTTTCAATATGGTTTAATTAGCTGGATCAAATTGGTAAAGATGCACTGATGTAACAGTATGCATGATAAATGAGCAGATCGTGCCCTTTGGTGCCTGGCTCTCTAATACCATTTTATCCGCTAATACAGACGATGAGTCATAGCAACAGGAAGGGGGAGGGGGGAGGGGGGCGGCATGCTGGCTGAGAAAAGTGAGAACAGGAGATGAAGGGAGACACGACAAGAATTGGTGTAGAGGAGTTGGGGATGAGGGAGAGAATGAAACAACATCTATTCAGAAATACAGTCAAGAGAGCCAGCCCACATTATAGGAAAGTAGAGCTGTGGTTTAGCATCTACACATCATCTGCCACTGTTTGCTGTAGCAATATGAAAAGGAATATGGTGTGCAAGACGAAGTCCTCGTGACGTCAAAGCAGTGATAAAGTCCAGACGCCCATGAAATAGCAGCGCGCTTATCCTCAGACTCCAGACACCACTTAGTCATTCCAAGTTATCAGATGCGTTTTTCATTGTTAACTAATATTTATAATATTAATTCTTAATCTGGATTTTCAACAGCGCTGATGGAAAAATCATAAAAATTTTCACTTTTACTTTTGCATATCAGCCCATTTTTGTCAAATTCATGCCTCTTCCTTTGCTTTGACACAGTAGGTTTATATGAAATTGACTCATTGTATCTTACCCGGGGTTTTTTCAGCCTGTGGCACTGTTTTGCTCTACATGTAGAAAACTGGCTCCCTGTTCTTGCACCAACAACTGCAGCTCTTGAGATACCCAAGGCAAAAAAACTTCAAAGGATTGAAATTAGACCGACTTGAGATGCTTAAATAACATAATGTGGCTCAGAGATTTGCAATTTGTTATGCAAACAAATTCACAAGTCCAAGACTTGAATTCTCTGTGGATAAAAAGTATTCCTGCCAGTCCGTAATCATTCCTCCACAATTTAATCATCTCCCTCGTAATGGCATCCAGTTGATATTTTGGAGGGTTCTGTTTAGCACATGGGAAGATTTTGATGTTAAAAGACTTTTGCTCAGCACTTCTTGTTTATGAAAGGATTTTTCAGCACATGTTGCCATAATGGATTCACGCCACAAGTCAGTGTTAAACAGTTCTGCAGCTTTTGTTGAACTACGCAGTGACACTCGAGACCTTTACTTTGCATGCTGACAGAGCTACAGAACAAGAGAACTGCTACGACAAAATGCAAAAATCTTATTTTCTTCTTTGTGTTGTTGCGAAGTTGGAACCTTTCCCAACTCTGGGAAAGCATAGAGCAAGTCCCTAATGGTTTACAGCCTCAGCCGAGCTTTAAATGAACACATTTGGACCCACTTACAAGCATCAAACTGATGAACTCCTGCATTATTTGGGGGTAACTTGATAGAGACAGATCATACAGTTTATACAAATTGGTCAATAACAGTATTTCTGGCTTTGAAAATCTTTGTTTTTAGTTTGGATCTTGAGACCCCCAAATATGAATGGCATGTGTAAATAAAGATGATGCAATTGTTAAAAGTTTGTGTTGATCACATGTGTCTATGTTGGTAATCACATTCAGTTTTGCAGCTGTGCGTGAGTTTATATGTGTATATACTGTGTTTGATTTGTTTCTGGATTTATTTTAATCCTCTTACTTTGGGCTTACAAGAAGTAGAGTCAAGTTTTTTGCATCCTAAAGTTCTATAATGCAAAGATTTAAGAGTTGGTTGCTTAAATGCCTGTAATAAAAAAAAAAAACATGTTCGACCTGCTTTATTAGAACCACTCTGCACTTATATGAAAACTCTTTGTATGGTTTGTGGTTGTATTTTGGTTGCGGTAAGACTCATTGTTGTTGAGCTTTGTTTAGGCGGAAAGTTTCAGGGCCACAAATAGGAAAGGCAACACAAAATTCCGTAAATATCACAAAATGGTTTCAAAAGTGTTATCTTTTAATACAATATTTTGAAACTTGCTTGGTTTATGCATTGTTGCCTATTGATCATTAAAAAAAATGTGTTTTCCTAGTGGAAATGAAAAAAAATCTATTTTTACAGTTAGGAAAAAAAATGCTTTTGGCTCATGTAAATGAGAAAAAAATCCCCTTGGCTCTTGTGTGTTTTGCAGCCATAAATAATAGCAAGCCATTGGTAGAGCGTTTGCACAGTATTTAATCAAGTTGAAAGCTGTAAATGTTAACAAACTGTTAATTAGTGGATTTGAAGCCTCACTCTCCACACATCTATTCTAGAATTTAACCTAAAGCAAAAAAAACAAAAACATTTCACCAAATAATGATATATTAACCAACATCAGAGAAACTTGCTTTGTAACTTTGATTTGATTACTCTATTCATTTTTAATTGCATGCACAATAATAATAACAGTAATACAATACTCACTGTCCAAACACTGAGTGCAGACGGTCTGAGTAACGCCGCATTTCTTCAACACTCCCTCTCCAGGTGGACACTCAATGCAGCATTCTCCATTCCTGGTGAACTGGCGAGATTCGCAGGAGAGAAGCACAGCCCGCTCCGTCTTGGAGGCCAGCACCGCTGCCACCTGGCACACCGGGACACCGGCACAGTAAATCGGAGAGCAAACTTTCACACATAGACAAACGTGCTGCGCAGGACCGCTGTGGCGTGCAAGGCAAAGCAAATTGATGAAAATTACTGCCAGGTGTCCAACCTGTTCCTTAACTCTAACTGCCATTGGGATTCATCATAAATCATGTTGTCTCCGCCTACATTAGACACACTTTAAACAAGGCAGTCGTCTAAACTGTCCTAATAGCTCCCCTAAAGGCACATCAGCTCTAATAGTAAACTTATGACATGCTCCAGCCAGGGCAGTAAGCATAAAATCATGGGTGCACGACATTATACACATGCCTGCCCTAATTACTGTCTAAAGGTGAAATTTGTTGTGAATGTCAGCCTCTGCTTCCGATCTCCTCTGGCACATGCGCACAAGCACTTGTATTTCTACACTTGTGAGGACTTTATAAATTGTAAAAGTGCATTTCCTCTCACTAACCTCCCTCAACCATAACATGCATGTGTAAATCCATCCTTTACTCAAATTGGTCTACATGATGGAGGTTCATTTTTTTATTAAGTTTGAAGGTGAAAGTTTACATTGTGGAGACTTTTAACAATAAATGGGAGATAGGCCCCAAATTTAAAAAAAAAAAAAAAAAAGTTCACTCGTGTGAGTCAGCAGCTGAGGTCATGAATTAATTCTAAAGTCTTGTTTCTTTGCATATTTAAGCACCACATTTAATCATGTGGTCTCTGCACTCTAAATGCTTTTTATGGTGTTTCTTTCATGCATGCACAAATTATTTGTCACTAATATCCTGTCTGGTAATGCCCCATCCTCCCCCATTATCCCCTCCTCTGTGTTGCATTTCCCTCAGTCCTCTCTGATATAAATTCCATGCAGCTTTACTCGCAAAAGAACTGAGGCTTGTTCCGCTGGTGTGTGTACAACAATGCGAAATGAAAAGAATTCATACTCAGACGTTGGAGAACAAAGAAAAGCGTTATACTGAGTCACTTTCATGTCCTGTGGCTTTTATTATGTAACGAGCAAAAGCTCATTTCCACTTAATTCACATTTGCTGAGACATCAATTCAGTCTTTTTTCTGTCTTTCTCTCTGTCATCCTTCCTTGCCCCCCCCCCCTCCTTCTCTACTGTCCCTGCTTTCATTCAGAAACAGATGTACTGAGCAGCTAGCACCGCTCTCTCTCTTTCTCTCATTCCCACTTCTCTTGCTCAATATTTCCCCCTATCTGTCACTCCACTTTTTGCTCTCAAGGTGCATTCCTCTTCCTAATCATTTTTCCTGACTTTACAGCCTGTTATCTCAACGTTTTTGCACAAATTTCTGCATCTGTAAGAGTACATTATCAGACTTTGAGTCTGCAAAAATGAAACTTGGGTGGATCCCAAAACCATAAAAGACATTCCTTCTTAAAGGGGATGGATTCATGTCTCTAACTGCTCTCCCCTTCCTTTTACGTCTCACAGGAATTTCACTCAGCTAAAACACAGATTAATGACAAATGCAGTGAAATGGGCAGCAGGAATATGCATACACATATTAATAAAAATGTACAGTGACGCAGCTATGATATGCTTGGTTTGCTCCCACTTCAATTTCATGGTCAATTTGAGAGTTTATTTCTAAATTTAATTCTACCAAAGTGCATCCGACCGTCACCACTCTTTAAACCAGCTGTCATAACAGAGTGTCCGCTCACATCCAGGGCTGTTCACATGATGACTGAGCCACACAGCCCAATAAGACCAGCTGCTGTGCACTTAACAGAGTGCTGGGAGGATGTGACCTCTGCTTCTGGCTTTATTACCACCATCTCCTATAATCAACCTTTTTCCTATAATCAGTACTTTAATTTTAAGAATGATATGATTTGAAAAAAAGATCCACATTTTTGCATGAACATTCAAGCATCTTTCTCTGGTTTTCATTTAACACCCCAAATATGGCCAAAATACCCTAAAAAGTAAACATTTTGACAAAACATTATTATAAACTCATTACAGGTATTAAACTCTAGGTCAAAGCATCCACCAGAAGCTTCTGGTGTCTGCATGTGGCCCAGGGTGAAGAAGATATCGAAGATATTTTCCATAAACATAATTCCAGGAGTGCTTCTGAACTTTTTCTCCCATGCCTGAAAACCAAAAGGGAGGTACAAGTGCGCATTTAGGGGAACGTGTGTGCGTGCTTGCGTGCGTGCGTGTGTGGGTGGGTGGGTAGGTGGGTGCGCGCACAGCTGAACATCAACTGGTCTGTCCACAAAGTCATAATCAAATGAGTTTACATGTAGCTACATGCAGCACCCGCGTGTCATGTTTAACCAGATAAACGACTTACTGCTTGCCTCACAACAGCAATAAAATACATATTTACAAAGATATGACAGAAATTTCTCAAAACGGATTATAAATGCCACACAATGGTCAAGAAAAAGTCACCACGAAAGTCCCAACAGGAGCAGCAACAGCACAGATTTGCAAAGTGGGAAACAATTTCAGCTCCAGATGGCATGTTACTGAGGGAATCATTATTGAGACGTCACAGTGAAAGGAAATCCTTAAAAAAATGAAAAAGTGAAATGAAAAAGTCCATCGGGTCACTAAAACTCCATTTAAAGAATGACAGCATTAAAGAAGCAGGGTACTGCTGCAGTCACTTACTGCACAGACTACTTACCAAAGCGCATGAAATGACCAGCGATAAGGTAGAAGTCATCCTGATTCGTCAGCCGGAGTCACATAAAAGAGATGTTGTGCAGAGAAAGCAGAGCTATGTGTATGAGGAGAGCCGCTCAGCAGAAGTGCTCATTTTAATTCCAGCGGCACGGATTTTATCAATGAGTCCGCACCATCGCGCGTCTGTCCGGGACCTCTGGACCGGAGTCAGTTGCAAGTGTAGGTGCACCTCCGCAGCAGCGCCACTACTTACACACTAACGCACCAGCACACAGAGTGAAGACGAGGCGGAGGAGGAGGTGCAGGAGACCGTCCTGTCCGGAGTACTGCAAGTGCACTGCGGAGGAGGCAGGCGAAAAGAGGAGAGGGCCACGTCCACCCTCCACTTTATTACTCCTGATGCTCCTGCAGTGCAACCTGCTCCTCTCCCTCTCTCTCTCACACACACAAGCACTCTCTCTCTCGCTCTCTCTCTCTCTCTCTCTCGTTTTAGTCTCACGTGAGGTCTCACTAGCTGAAAAATATCAAATAATGAAAATGATTCATATTTATTATTAAAGACCGACATGAATGTTTTGCACATTCAGTAATAATCCCCACACACGTCTTTGTTGTTATTGCTATATACCCAAAAGTATGTGGACACATCTGTCTACATTCTTTTGGCCCCACAGTAACACTTTCATGCCACTTTTATCCTGCCTTTGATATAATATCATCGCGCACGTTACTAAAATTAATTATACTGTATCTTTATATCTTATACGAAAGAGTCACGTGAGAGGTTTGGGGAAACCCTCTTTCTAACACCTGGGCTAAGTCGACCACCGAGTATCAGCCAGTTTACGAGTAATGACAATTATTCGTGAGTGTCTGCATATTTATGCTAATGTAGCGTTTGGTTCTTCAATTAATCGTGTTTTTTGTGGTGGAGTGGCTGCTGGTGTGCCAAAGACTTCGCTGTAGCTTATGGCATTGTTGAGCTGGATTGCATTATGCTAAAGTGTGTTTCTAATGTTTCTAAAGGTGAAGGAAGGAGGCACGATATTGAAAACAGAAAGAAAGAGCACCACGGATTCCAGTAGTCTCCAAACTTACCTCTAAAATTAGGTCAACAGAAAAACAAGTCCACAAAATCACTGCAGCTATTCCTTCTTTTATATTCAATGGTGGTTTTATTTTACTACTTTATCTTTTTATTGTCATTATTATTTTGAATGTGTTGTGAATCTTTTGCAAAAAAAAAAAAAAAAGTATAGTCCCATGATGGACTTCAAAGTGCATTGTTGCCATGCACCACAAGAGGGCGACTCAGCTGAGCCACAGATCAGCAGCAGCTCAGTCTGGTGTGATGATCTTGAGCTTAAGACTGAAAGATGAGGTTTTTCTTCCTCCCACTTCACAGCGAGAAGTGCACTGTGAAAAGGATTGATTTTCACTGAATTCTGGTTTTGTGTGTTGCTGATGCTACGGCACAATTTAGTGCTGTGCGTACTTGAAGAGGAGCCTCCTGAAAGGGGATTAGACTATAAATGTGTTTTTGATGTCTAGTCCTGAATTTTATCTACCAAGCTGAAAAGTCTCTTTAAATCATGACTCATTTTCTAGTGCAGTATTTGGCAGTTTCACACTTTGACTGCATTTTGAAATAGTGCATTTTGAAACACTTGTTTGGAAACCTGCCAGACACGTTGAGGTTTATTGAAGTTTAGATCACATTAATCCCATTAAGTGCCATCTGCTTCATCTTTTTTTTTTTGTCAAGATCATACTAAATTTGGCGAGACCACTCCAAAACCACTAATGCACGTCTAAGGATTGTAATTGTGTTTGATGCCCATTGAGGTACTTAGCCTTTACATTTAAGGAAAACCAGTGTTGATGGATATTGATCCAAGAAAACGTGGCAACGAACCAGTTGGAGTCACCAAAAATTGGACAGCTTTATCTGCTTCAAACCTCTCCCAACCTTTTCTTCTACAATCTCCCTGACACTAGCATTTCTACATTTTTCACACTGATCATCAGCTCAGGGGACACAGAGGCTGATGTCCCTGAAACAGCAGCAGCAGCCACAAGGCGATTCAGTTACACTGTTGAGATCCGAATGCTCCTCGTTATTGATCTCGGGACACATCAATTTTCCCACTTCCTACATCCTCCTTTAAGATCACCCCTGTATCATCTCTATCTAACCCCCTTCTCACGACTTTGACAGCGCTCTTCTCCATCAATACTAGCGTCTTTGATATTGCGTTCCTATGATCATCGTGCTCGAGCCAGGATTTACAACCTATAATCACTACAGTGTCAGTAGAGCCACTATAGAAGTGCAAGTAATTACCACGGGTCCTGCCATTCCTGCACATGTTAAATAAATGTTAATAATTAGCTTGTTTCAACCTTGTTGTTGATGCTGTCATCACTGTTCTAACAGTGTAACATAGATGTTCTACAACACGCAGAGGAAACAGCCATAAATAGAAAAATGCCCTCTGAATGTGAACTCTATTAGTGCTGTAACTGATATATGTTTACAAGGCCTTTGGTAGGATACATTCTTTTTGCATGTATCACATTTCAGTCTTATTGCTGGTCGGCAAAAGGAAACATTATGTCAGCCGGCAAGGTCACAATTATAATATAATCTTGATGAAGAGGGCTTGCTGCATGGTAAAAGGCGTTAGTTGAGGGCAGCAACACTTGACATTCCCGGCAGCACAGTGTTATTTATTTATGTATCTAATTGTATGTAATTTATTTATCTCTTCTTCTTTTAGTCAAAACCAGACCAAGCGAAACTTAATTTAACTGCACAATAAGCACAAATTATACTACAGTGAGCATTTAAACATCGCAAATAGCAGTTTAAGACTCCCTTCATCCTCGCACCAAATGACCTATTTACTACAAATTGGAAGAGCAGGTAGTATCTGCATCTGGTGATCATAAATGACTCATCTCAATTTTTGACCATATAATTTTGATGTTTTTGTAACCCAGCTGGAGGCCAAATTAACCATGTTTTATCAAAACAAATCCAGTTATTAAGACAATAATGAGCAAAGTGTATGTCCTTCCTTTTATGCACGTTCATACCTTCCTATTGGTTTTTACCTATGTGAGAAAAACTTTGGCTTGTCGCAACCAGTCTTGATACCTTTTAGAGTATCTTTTAGTGCATTGAGAATTAATGCTGCTTAAATATGTGAGTAGTAGTAAAGTTCATTTGTACTGAAGAGGAAAACTGGACAAAAGCAGAGGGGGGGGGGGGAGACAGAGAGAGAGAGAGAGAGAGAGAGAGATTGTAGGATAGAAAATTTTCAATTTCAGTGGACCCAGCAAGCACCAAGTTACGAGTCAAAGAACAGAATTTTCTGTCTTTCACAGACAAAGGATGTGACTTGGTCTTCAAGTAGTGACTATAAAAACATTTCAATGATGACACTGTGCTCACATATAATCATGAAGTCCACCCACGCTTTACATATTTTCCGTTTTATGCAATTTAAAAGAGTGCAGTGGTTGGGTGTAGTTTTGGCCTCAGCCACAAGAGAGGTGGAGCACTCATCCTGTATTGCTGACACACAAGTGGACAAGCAAAGCTGGTCCTGGACTGTGAACTGTGCTGGAAAGAAACTTTGAGTTAATGAGCAGAAGCTTTATGATGTGCAGTGTGTGCAAATAAAGTCAGGTGTTTGCGTAGCATTGACAAAAGCCACAAACGCATAACCAAGTTTGGGTTTTTTGGACAATTCTTTTCACTGCAAGCTGTGATTAATGACTTCCACTACACATCCACTACTGAGCAGGATGAACCTCATTTTCTCCATCTCGTATTTTCATAGGGTTTCATCTTGTCTGAATCCCTGTGTGAAAGAAAACGCCGGAGTTCGCTGAGCATTACTATAACTGAATGCTGAACAAGACAAAACCGTACCCAACTCTCACTGAAAGCACCAACCGTCACAGTCACACCCTTAACTGTGAATAACTTTTGGCCGTTCTACGACTTACAGTTTTTTCTGATTGCTTAAGCACATTTTTTGTAACTATTGGCTAATTTTGCAAAACTCTTCACACAAATAAGAAAACCTGTCACCCAATAATCAAAACATTGTAGTTCTCTTGCAAAAGCAAACACA